GCCGTATACTTAACATTCGCTCTACTTACTAGCTGTATTGTTCTTGTTTATTCTGTAAGTATCAACATATAGCTGTTAAATCTGATTTCCAACAGTGTTGCTTGTTTTATCAATAAAACATGTTTATAGTAATTGCTACTTAATTTATACCTTCTCATACATACGGTTATTAACCACATTTTATGACTGCCAAATACTGAAATTTATTTTATTACCATTCATAATTAGTTTTAAATGAAGTTTTTTATGAATAAAAATTTTTTTAATAAGCTTTTTCATTTTCATTCATAAAATTTTACAGCCTCTGTTTCATTGTTACAACTATTGTTAATATTTTTATTTTCACTGTTAATGTTATTTAAATTTTTTTCTGTAATGTTATTCCTGTTTTTTACTGCTACTACCAATATTAATATTTTGTTTCGTGTTATAATAATTATTTTATTTTTTTGGGTATTTTTTTCCTATTTTATTATTTTAGTAATGTGAATATTTAATATGAATATTTTTTTCTGCAATAATTTTTTTTTACTACTTCTGCTAATGTTAATGTTTAGGTTGCTGTCATATTAAACATGTTATTCTTATCTTTCAATATCTTACTTACATTTCACTGTTACTATTGCTGTTAATATTTTTATTGTTGCTGTAATAAAAATGTTTGTGTAAATTACAAGTGTAAAATACAGAAAAGTTAACTTCAGTAAAGTGCAATGTTTGCTTATTGTTAACTATATTTTATTCTATTCGATTAATTAAATGCGGTTTTTAGTTCAAATATTGCAACAAATAGAATAAAAATATACGTCATGTAATTACATTTTTACATAGTAAAAAAAGTATTGCCACCGGACTCAGGTTGCTATTAAGTTTAAAAGATTAAAGATATATAGCAAAGAATATATGCTATGCTACTTTTTTGTTGTAGTGTAACAACTATTTTTATTAGTTTACCGTTAAAAAGTAATGGTGTCATAGACATTCTCCATAAATATTCTTTTTTTTAACTAAAAATGGTTGACAACGTGCATAATTGGTAAGTATTATTAGTAAGTATTATTATTATTATAATTGGTAAGTATTAAGTTAACATCTATTCAGTTGATTTCGGATTTGGTGGGTGAAATCCGTGCGGGTACTTTTTTAAGAAATATTAACTCGAAAATGATTCGATTATGTGCATTATATTATACTTTACAAATTATCTATATAGAACAGTGTTAAGATTCCGCTTACAAGTTATATGCTACTAAGTTGATATTAAAAGTATATAAGTTATATTATATACGAAAGTTTCACTGTAGAGTCTTCATCCATGTATCTTCAATAACTTATTCTCTACTTCTGGAACTAATTTATTTCTATCTTTCAATAAAAATCATGTATTATTATCGTTTTTCAAGTTTAAACAATTGGTTAGCACGTGACTGTTACCTCGATTTGAGAAGATACTTAAAACTACAACACTATAAACTAGTGGCGCTATCTAGTTGGTACTACATATAAACTAAACATTCTTTTACACATGATTGTTCCCTTTAAACTTATATTATTAGATTTGTATTTTATATTATATGTATGTAATCATTTGTCTGCACTATGCTGTGCTGTATACCATAACAGTGTGAAATAGCTAATATGGTTTAAATATATATGATAGTCATCGCAGAAGATTTTCATTAGTTACTTTTTAAGTCATTTTCTTAAACAATGTAATCGATACTATTATAAGAGGATCATTCTTTCAAAGCTTATTCTGAAAGAAAAATGAATCCATAATATCTATTTAATACATTAAGACTGAAAAGTTTTCGGAAATTCTCATTTAAAATTCGCGCGCTGTATATTTTTCGATATTTTAAGTTTATGTAGTTTGGCAGCACTGTCCTTAATTACTATGCCAAAAATGAGCTCGATCTGTCAGACAGTTCGTTTACGGCAGCTGTTGAAACCAGTTCACCTCAGTAGTGCGTTGCGAAATGTCTTCGACGGTCGTACGACCGTCCTGGAAGGCTTTGTACCACTCATAAACTTGAGTTTTCGATAAAACTGATTCCCCATAAGCCTTTTGTAGCATTCGCAACGATTCTGCACACGAAATTTCGTTCGAAACACAAAATTTGATGCAAACTCTTTGTTCAATATTTTTTTCCATTGTTTTTTTCGCAACGCCCTACTGAGGTGAACTGGTTTCAACAGCTGCCGTAAACGAACTGTCTGACAGATCGCGCTCATTTTTGGCATAGTAATTAAGGACAGTGCTGCCAAACTACATAAACTTAAAATATCGAAAAATATACAGCGCGCGAATTTTAAATGAGAATTTCCGAAAACTTTTCGGTCTTAATGTATGTCCTAAATGAGTTGGGTCTATCAAAATATGGGTTGTGTTTACATTTTTTGACTGAAACTCTACGGTCAGTTACTAAAGCAGAATAGATAATAGAATAAACTGAAGCTGTCAGTGAATGTTGGAATGGATGTCATAAGCCCTGTAGACTACCCTATGTTTCAATTGAGCAAATAAAAGATTTTGATAGCGAAAAATAAGGACAACAAAATATAAAAGTTTGATTATTAAAGTTTTAGTTATTTGAATTAAAATTTTTTCCACATGAACTATATAATTTGATATTTTATTTAATAAAATAACTTAAATAAAAAGTTGTTTTGGTATTACAACGTGATTATACTTTTAATATTTTAATTCCGCTTGAAGCTTTCAAAGCATTTATTTTTACACTATACACTTAAATACAACTAATTGACTTGCTTTTAAATAGAAAAGTTTTCTTAATTATCTGACATTTATTTAATGTGTTTTTCTTTTTTGCAAGTCTCAATTTTCTTCAAAGCAAACTAAACCAAAAAACTTTTATTTAAAATTTCAAACCAAATTAAATTTTCAACATAGAAATTAAGTTTCTAAAGCAGAATCTTTAATGACACTTAAGTACGTTTTGCTAGTAATGAGTTAAGAACAGGTTAAAACTTCTTCAGCCAGGACCACATGTACAGAATCTTGATTATACACAAACTTACTTAAATAGCTTGGGAACTAATTGTGGTCCATTTGTGCTTGCCTTCAACTAATGTTCTAGATTTCGAATCAACAAACTATTGCAAAATATTACTTATTCAGATAATTGCAAATGTAATTACAAACAAGTGTATCTAATTTCACATACCTGCAACATATGTGTAAATTTAAAAAATAAAAATTTACAAATTAAAAGACACAATAGCAAGGATCTGAAGTGTATCTAGAAAAAGTTTTATTTGATATATTAATTTGTTTTATAACATACTTGACCAAATATTTCCACAAGTATACCCGCTATTTAATTTTGAATTATCATTCCACTAAAACTAATTAATTAATTAATTAGTAATCATATTTCCACATTTTTTACAAGAAGCAAAGCAACAATTGCTACAATGCAATCTTTAGTATAGGGCAGCTAATACAGGTTATCAGATCAGTGAAGTTTATCCCTTGTCGAGCGATGAAAGAGGAACTGTGTTCTTTAACTTACCATAACTAATCTTTTTCATACCCTTGTACTCTACTATATAAATTTGTTTACCTCTTGCCTTTCTGCAGGATATAAGTGAATTGATCTACTGCTATACTACTAGAGCTATTATTGCCTAATTACTATGTTATCTGTAGAAGAAAAATTATACGCAGAGTATTGTATCTTTTTATTCGTCCAAGGCCTTATCTCCTGTTTAAGTTTTGTTTTCTTACTAGCTAAAGACTTTCAAATTCTAATCTGTGGATAAATTTAGCACATTCAATTTATTTAAAAGTTAATTTATTACCAAGTCTTAAGAAAAAATAAATATAAATTGATTGGAATATGCGATAATTGGAACTGCGTGGAAAATTTTTCCATAAATTCTAGAATATAATTTCTATATAATTTCATAAGTGTGTGATTTGCTTCTTCAAGCAATAGAGTAATTCTTTTTACAATATTAAAATAGTACAGTAGCACTCTCAAATTATTGACTGTTATCCTGTTTTTCTACAACATAAGTACCTATTGTTTTAAATGTAAATTAATGTTATTAATTGTATAATAATTATACAATTAATAATATAATATTATATATAATTGTTAGTGTTATTAATGCACATAATATTATTAATATTAATTATTATGTGTTTAATTAAAATCTTCTCCTCATTTTGAAAATCCATTTCATTTTTTATGCAAATTATCAACTTATAGAGTTTGCTCTTCATTCGTACATAATTATATCCATTTCTAAGAATATTTTGTAAATATGTCAAGTTGGTGATAAAAGGAATTTTACGTATACATATATATGTATATTTGTAGTAATCGAAAACTACTCAAATTCAGCAAAACTATTTCCAAGAAAGTTAAAGTTTGCCAAATTTGTATTCAATTTTTCGAAATAATCTAAGTTGAATTTCTTAGTTTAGGATTTCAATTAACAATTTTATTATTCATATGAAGGTACGATAGCCTTGTAATCTCACTTACTGTAAGTTTCACAAAATCATGGAACCAAAAGGATTTCAACCACGGAATTCGTAGCTTAGCAGGACGTGTCGCATGGAACACAAAGGGAGGTACAAATTCTTGTCATTCTTTTGGAGATAATATGCTAAAATCTAAATTTCTTAAAAATATTTTTTTATCATTATTAAGTTCAATTGAATTAAACTTTTAAGTTTTTTTTTATTCAAAACTGAATAAAAATATATTTCAAAAAACAATGCTTGAAAATTCATAAAATAGCAAAATAAAATCAATTCATAATGTAAGACGAGTTAGCTTAAATGTTTCCCAATTGGTTAAAATCATGTTGGTCCAACGGGTATACATCAAAATGCAGCATCTTAAAAGAGATCATGATAAATTTATAAAAAAATAATGTAACAATGTATAATAATATGTGCATACGCATAAATTGACATTTATAGATATAGTAAAATCGTAATTACCTTAATTGTGATCGTCTTGTTATTAACGGCCTCTCCTACGACCTCTTTGACCTATATTAGGCATATCCTCATCAGAATCTTGAAGCTCCAGTTCTTGCATAGCAGCTTCATACAAAGGACTGCGATCCTGGTTTCGTCTCATGAGTACAGATCGTAAGATTTTTTTACATTTATCAAAGCACAATAGATTGCCAAACACAATAATGAAGAGTATAACATAACCCATAGAGGTTGGATACTTCTGTATTGTTCGTTTTGCACCTGTCCAAAGAAATCCCTTCTTATTTCGAATTATATTCTCAATTGTAAAATGTAGACAGAAAACTGTAAGAGCTCCTTTAGATAGATAATGAAGAAGCACTAATTTAAGACCATTTATTACTACTTTAACGAATAATGATGCATGAGGATAAGGTCTCCATTTCTTCTTAATCCAATTATCAAAGATATGGCCAAATAATCTTTGGATTCCTATAATACAAATTACTGTGTAAACAGTTGGGAGGTAGTACGCAATATGCTCAGTAGAGGTGGCTATTTCAAACAGCAGCAACAGCATACTAACTGCAATGCAAAACCGGTTCTCATTCTTTTCAATAAACTCTATTATATTAACCATTGTGTTTCCAATCATTTTACAAAACTTCTGATTTGTAAAACACCGCTAACTCTTAAACTATTTAATTTTGTCTTTCAGAATTTCAATTTCAAGCTTTAGCTGCACACCTTAAGAAACAAATGAAATCATTTAATTTAACGTTAAAATTTTTTTTTTTGTTTTGTTTAAATTAATCTTAAGTAAATAGATTGATTTTGTTTTATTATACCTTTTGTATATAAAATAATTTTTTTTATTAGAAAAAACTTTGCCGAAACAGAGCTTGCTGTAGTCATAATTTTTTACAACAGAATTAATAATTCTAAAAAGTTTAGCCGTAAGGGTTCAAATTTGTAATAACAGTTTTCCAATATTTATGAATCCCAATATGTTTGTGGTCTTATTAAGATATTATTATAAAATCTTCGTTTTACATTTAGGTGGACCATTGCTTCGTGAGCTGTTTTGTGTCTACCTAAGATGCCCACATGCTTGGAGACATACTTGTTATAAGTAAAGTTTCAAGTCAAAATTTAAAATAAGTTTAAACAACATAAATGCATTTACAAACTATAGCTTATTTAATATATGGGCCAAAAAATATATCAAAAGTCACAAATACTTATTAATTAATTAAATATTTCCACTGTTTTCAACTATAGCACCCGTTTAACCAGATATCGTTCCATTAATCATTTAAATATTGTGAATAAAGTCTGAATAGAGTGAATGCTTTAAGCTTAATGAGAGTTAAAAATCTGTAGTGATACTTAAGCTCCTGAGCTATATATTTTCCTTACTAAATACTACGCATAGGTAGTTACTAACAGCGTTATAAATAAGTCTATATATAAGTAAAGAGGAAGCCAGATTCAGAGGAAATAGAATAAACACAAACAAGTAGATGCAAATCAAGTGACTTGGTAGCTGAAGGAATGGCTAAAGTGCTCTGTTGTATACAAATACCTGCCTATCTCACACCTATCTAAAATGTTGAGCTACTATTTATTAGTATATAATTTTTATATGTGATATGGCTTAGGACCACCGAGAACAATAGGCAAAACAAGCGCTTGTAAGAAACCATATTAGATCCCGAAGAAGAGGCAGACCTAGAAAGAGGTAGAGGCATCGGATCTAGTCAGATAGCAAAAATTGTTTAATGAAGCACTGGGTGGATCAGGACTGTTATGCTAAGAAAGAAAATGACAAACGGGCAGTCTATCTAAGTTCCGAAGTTGATGCGTTGCTTCAAGAATTAAAAAAATCAACAGAAGAAAGTAATACCCAAATCTATGACCTAGATATGGGATATCTAAGAATATATTACCTAGTATAAGAAAGTTCCAACAAATAACCAAAACTCTACTTTATCAGAATAGTTACACATCGTGTTCCAAGGAATCATATCCAATGTATACGAAATACCTTATACATTATATATATACATCTCAGTAATGACGATAAATAGAGGACACTATAGCGCTACTAAAGAGATATTATTGAATGAATGTTGTGTAGTAGCATTAAACGGAGAAGGAGTCGCAATTATTTTAACAGACATTAAAATGAATACATTGTATTATAACGGTTCGTCGATTAAGAACTATGAATACTACATATATCATTTATAATATATGTTATAAAATATATTATAAAATATAAAAGTAAAACTGAAGTTTTATAACTTACCTTAGTGGAAAAGTTTTCACCAAAACTGCAAAAAAAAATGACCAGATCCAAAAGATACGGATGTTTGTCAGCCTCACACAAAAAAAATAGAAATGAATTTAAAAAAATTTTCTTTTGGAAATAGAAATTTTTTTATTTATGCCTTGACTACTTGATCATACTATTTTTATTAAAGCCATATAAAATATGTAAACGTTTTTAAAAATTTTCTATATTATATTCAAAGATAAAAATAATATAGTATTGGTTTTCATTGGCAGCCTTGTGTAAATATGGCTGATATTAGGTGACTTTCTTGATTCTAGTACATTGGATAGTAAATAAAAAGTAAGTTTCAGTTTTTAAAACCCATTTTTTGTGGTACAAATAAATAGATTTTAAAAGACACTTTTATGTTGTTCCGCAGACTTGCCATTTAATAAATTAGATAATCACACCTCAGTTATAAAATTCACCACTTGAAAGATATGCCTCATTTTGTTTAATTGAACAAGATAATACGTATTTATTAATAAGATCGGTGCTAGACCGATTTGGTTTAAACATTTGATAAATAAACACAACCACTTTACTTGGGTCCTTATTACACACTGATCTTTATTCTTTATTTTACACTTTTCATCCGAAAGATTGCCAACCATTTATATTTATCTTTTAATTCTACGACAAATCCAATTTTTTTAAAAGATTTCTTGCAGCAGTATTTATTCTTTAAGACAAATTTACCGAAGTAAACAATTTATATATTCAGGATTAGAAGTAATTATTATATTCGATTTAAACCAAATTTTAAGTATTTTGATTGAAAAACCTTTATTCCATTAACTTCGTAATACTTCAGTTTACCATGTACTCCATATTTCAATGGATTTATAACTTTTGAATAGTTTATTGGTGGGAAAATTTATTAATCTGCACTACTTATTTATTCTGTAAAAAGCGTTATCGTTATAGGTATGCCTTTTGATTCACTATTGGTTGCAGGTCTCAGAGAACTATCAGAAATCTCCTTTTTAATTTTATTTATATCTATATCTTATTTCTAAGTATTGAAAGAAAATTATTCTTTAATTCTATTATATTATATATGTGATTGAGGAACACAACTTTAGTTTTATAATTTAGAATGATAAATTTTTATTGCCTAACTTATAAATTTAAACATATGTTTCAGAAATAAATAAGGAATTTTGATTTTGCCGAAATTGTAAAAAACGAATAATGTTAACAGAATAACATAGTTAAAGACACTTCAGACAATTCGAACTCCACTCACATTACATTGTTTAGTGATAGGCTAGGATATACCTAGTGATAATGTTACCACTCATGCAAGTATCTAACGTCTGAAGTTATAAGACAAGTTGCCGCTGGAGAACTTAACGTGTGAAACCTGATCGGAGGGTGAGTACTGCAGACCATCACGTTTACTGCCCGTTCTACCAGTTGTCGTATAAGACTGAGGCGTTGTCGTATATGAACTTAATGTTGTTGGCGCTGAGGTTGTTGTATACTGTTCCTGCAGTTGGCTGCGCTGATCGTTGAACACATGTTCTTGCTGTGTCTGTAAGTAGTTAGCATATTCCTCCGTTGTAAGATATTTGGATTGACCTTGTGATTGTGGTTGTGGTTGTTGGCTTTGCACAGCACTTGCTAGCCTAGGGGATTGCTCATATAATTGACGTAACAGATCTTTTTGTTGTTGTTGGTATTGTTGAGCATACAAATCATGTTGTGTAGCTTGCTGTTGATAAGGATAGTAGGGAGTTTGTGCTTGACTTGGCTGGGGCGCATATTTTGCAGCGCCACGTAATTGTTCTTGCACTTGCTGCTCATGCTGTTGTTGTAATAATTGTTGCTGCTGCAGTTGCAACTGTTGTAATGATTGTGCGTAAGCTTGCTGTTGCAGGCCCTGGTGAGGAGCAAGTTGGGAGCTTTGCTGAAGAGAAAGCTGAGAACTATGTTGTGGAGCTGCTGGTTGGTATTGGACAGCTGAAGCATATTTGGGTTGATATTGTTGTGGGTAATTTGGCACAACCTGTCGTTGTGCATAGTACTGAGGTTGTGGTGCCGATTGTGTTTGCTGCAGCTGTTGCTGTTGTTGCTGGTACTGGAATTGCGGTATCGAAGCTGTTGAATACTGAAAAAAAATAAAATATATATTATTACTTTTTAGTGTAACAAATGGAAAAAGAAAGATTGTTTAGTGCTTACGCTATGGCGTATAAATCTACGGCTAGGGTTATCCCCTGTACTGCAATGGCGGCAATGTCTTTGCATTATTCGTTTTTTTTTGTATTAACGGTAATTATATTTCAAAAAATTAAACATCGAAAAAAGTCTGAATGAAATAATTGCTCATATTTTTTGTATATAGATTTTAGCTTTTTTTTTATATAAAAAATTAAACATAAACATTTCATAATTGAGAAACGAATTCGCTAGCCTACTTAGGTTAAGAATTGATATAATTTAGTTTAAAATTTATTTAACAATATTCATTAAAATAAAGTTAAGTCCAAATTACGTTGTTAACAAAAATTGTCGATGCAGTCGATTAATAGAGTAAGACATGCAATTGTTTAAAACAATTGATATGATCCGGAAATGCTAACGAGCAATAAATATCAAAAATATGTTAAAAAGCCTTAATTGCTCTACCGCTTAACATTTCGAATAACTGAAATCATGTACATATTTTCAAAAAAAAAAGGTAAAATATTTTAGTATAAATAGTCTCAAAACCAAAAATATTTACCCAGTTTCATCAACAATTTGGAGCAATAAAAAATGGATCTAATACTAAAATACAAAAAGCTCTGGCTTTTATTGAATTTATACATAATTTTTGTCGAAATTAATTTAATAAGAGCGGATCCTCAGCCAGAGGTGGACTTACTTTGTACAAAAATATGTTCATAAATAATTATTTATTATATACTGAATTCCAGAGTTCTCTCTTAGACGTTGGTTTAGGTGTTATAACTGTGGCTGGTTCTGCATTTGAAACGCTACAGAATGGTATGATCGTGACGAGAGATCACGGTTTTAATACAAGTTTATTGTCGGTGCATAGTAAAAGTACTGCAGGTATGGGAAATGCAGTAGTAAAACGTAAAGCAAGTAATGAAGAAATCGATGATTGGAGAAAAAAACGAACAATTGTTGCACCCGACCACAATGATTTACTAATGAAGCATGAAGTTAAGCATCGTAAGAAGAGGTCACCATGTTATTATGGTAGGCCGCCATCTGGTGGTAATATACCATCAGGTGGTAATCTACCATCTGGTGGCAATCCAACACCGACCGAGCCAACTGATGATGAGGAAGCTAGAAGAAGAATTGTGCGTATGCTTAGGCAGCGGCGTCGGAATGTTTTACAAGGTAGATCGAGAAAAAGGAGTGGGAGTAGAACTAGAGGCCGTCGATAAAAAAATTATCATTGTATATTTTGTAAAAATCTTAAAATTTTATCGTTAATTAGAGTATTAGTTAATACTATAATGTGATAATGCTGATTTGACTAAGTAAAATTTTAAAGGTTAATCAAATTTTTATGAGTTTTAAATTATGTGATCAGTGAATTTAAGTGATACCTTGTATGAAGTACTTATGAATAATATATTGAATAAATTTAAAACTATAACTAAATAAAACAAACCCACTCAATTTTGTTGCATATATCTAAGTTATTGCACTCATTTTATTCGTATTTGTATAAAAGCTTTACGTTATTATCTTGTATATTTATTTGACGTGAATTAAGGTTGTTGCTAGGATCCCCTAATTAACTAAAAAGCTTATTAGGGACTTCAGTTTAACTTCTATCACTTAAGCGTTTATATGTTCACACTTATTTTATTTTTGATAATATATCTATTGTTTTTGTATCTTATGCTAAGTAATCAGTAAATTTTTATTGTTCACCCAAATGAGTTGTTGAATCTTGCTGAAATCTTGCGCATTAGCCCGATGTGTCTATATACTGATAATTTGACATGTGAAGATCATACACAAAAGATTAAGGTTCTACTGCATTAATTTCGAAACATTTTTTAATAAATTTGTCGCTTATATCATTACAACCAAATTTTTCGTATCTAGAAACCTAGATAAATGTAAATTGTGAATTTTATCGTTGCAGCTTACACAGACATAAGATATTGACAATTTAGTACCAGGTAGGGGTCCAAGGTATAAAGAGAGTAAAGAGTAAAGAAGTATTTGTCTTTGTTTTTTGTTATATTTTATATTCATTCGTTTATGTTAAGCCTTTTCCGAGTTAGTGCATCTGGGCACTTTTACTCTGTGATAGCTGGGGGAATTTTGCAGAGTCCCGCCCATTTCACTGACTAATTTGAGTATTCCTGATAATCTTCGTGATTATTCAATGTTTGAACTAAAATCTGCGTACCGCCCTATGCGGTTAGTGATTACTCTGAGATTAGATAATGATAAATAGAGAGGCCTGTCGGTTTTCGCATATTGCTTCAGATATTAAATTGTCTGCCCCAATAAAGTTAACATTCTCTGATGAATTTATCAGCATAATTTTAAAAGTATTAATCTCTCAAAACAGCAAGGAAGGTGAAGAAAGAAAATAACAATGGTTTGTCGAAATATAGATATAGTATTTAATTATAAATTCTGTAGCTTTGAAATGGTTTTTTATCGAGTGTGCGATTGTTTGCCTACATTCGTATTATATTTTTCATTTCTTGGACTTACTTCGCAAAGATAATGTATTTCAATTTTATATCATATTAGGTGTTTTTAAACTTTATAAAATAAAGTATATATTATAGATATATAAGACCAAATATTCGCATTCATTTAATTTATTTCAAATAATTTCAATATTGCTACCAAAAGTTTTAAAATTACATTTGGTTAAAGCAAAGGTCGTTGAGAGCAATTCTAGCTGAATTTATTTAATTATTTTTAATAAATATTATTCAATTTTTTTATTTGTTATAGTTATTATATAGATTTAATTTTTTATACATTAAACACGCAAAATTGTAATTTATTTTTGTAAAAGATGAATATCGACAATGTAAAAACAAATTTCGAAATCGTGCGCCATGAATATTTATAAAATATTATATATATAAAACAATAGAATATTGTGTCATTTTAAAATTAATTAATTTTAATTAGTCAAATTAAATATAATCAAGCACACACAAATCTAAACAACTACGGAAATAAAAGTGAATAGCATTTGAAAAATTAAAAGTTTATATAAAAAGATTGAAGGGCGGTGTTAGTATTTCAGAAGTGAATCCCACTGAAGGACAACAGAACTGCGCTATGGAAAAATTCTGCATATTATATGCAATTGTTCTGACTTTATTGCAGCTTGGAAATGCTGTACCCGATTCACCGGTGAGTTCTTTTAAATTTTCGTTTGAAATGAAAAAATTTATGTTACTGAAAAATATTTAAAGGATCACATGGGCGGAATGAACCTTATTTTCCGTTCAGCTAAAGATCAACTACAAAGTCGTTTACCATTTGGTGGGGGTAAGAGAGATGTTAGCAGTGATGAACTTAATGACGACATGGAGTTAGGTGATAATAAACGACGAAAACGTGAAATAAATTTTGTTGAGAATATGTTAGACCAATTGGATTTGATGTCCATGCCAATGCAAATCCCAGATATGCATCGCGGGAAGCGTTCACCATGTCGTGGTGGTGCTAATACTACTGCTGCACCAGCTGATGATACCGTAGATGGTGCAGATGGTACTGCAGATGCTGCAACCCGTAAACGTGGAAGGAAGGGAAATGCGCGAAAGGCTAGAAATAAGCAGCAACTTGTAAGACAACGCCGTCAAGCTGATGATAATTCTGGACAAAAGTTTAATGATGATATGAAGAAATTTTCTGAAGCCATGCAAAATGTTTGGCAAACATTTGTAACTTCTGTTAAAAATGTATTGGAAGAAGTGAACAAAGCAGTTACTGCAAATGGAGCAACTGCAGATACGAAATAGATATGGATAAATGTTTTGAAAATTGTTATTGAATTCATACAAATTGTACAATACAATTAAAAAAATATTGATTTATATAATATATATATATAATTATTTGATAATATAATTTCACAATAGCTTTTTACTTAATTTCTATTAATATTATTATCCTTTAACGCCTTACGGAGTATCAGATCTCCAATAAGTATTAAGGTATATTAAACACAGATTATTTTGGAAATTAAGTTCAGTTTTAAATGGATAAATTAAGAATAATATTTTTCAGTCCACTAATCACTTTTAAGAGCCAGACATTTATACCTTTACACTTCCTTAAATATAACTGAAATAATAATTTGATAGTAATTTGGACTACTACTAGATAAATATTGTTAACATGTGTTGCTCTATCGTCCTTGGGAAAGCTTATTTGCTTAGGTGTCCTTATGAAAAATTATTTGTTGGTAATAAAATACGTTTTATCGCCGTGTATAAGTAGCTACAAAGCTTACAGCAGGTTTCTACTAATTTCATACCACAATTATAAATTTATGAAGAAGTGAGTATATTATTCCCCGCAAAAGATTTTTCAGGTTCAGGTCCATTAATCGCATGACTTCTTTAAGTTTTTTACGGTAACATTAGTCACCAGTTTTTGAAACCAATATCTTTTATCCGATCCCTAAATTATATTTCATATGTATTCCATTAATCAGTTATTTGTATTGTATCTCTAATAAAGCATTTCTCTTTTGAGTCCTCTGGTAGAATAGAACTTACACAAAATTCTGACACGAAATCATATAACATCACGAATCTAGAACCTTCTTTAACTAAGACGTAAATGCTATATGCATTGTAGCCATAAGTTTAAAGAGATAAACTTTAAAAGCAGAAAATGACAAAGATAATAATTAGGTGTAAAGAGTAAACTGCGAACCTGGACCGAATTGTATCCCTAGTGATGTTAGTATTATTATTTATTTTCTCGTTTTTCATATCAATTTATAATTGTTTTCCGATGTCATTAAAAATAAGTTTTTCTAAAATTGTAGCTCACTTAGATTGGTCATCTGCATAATAAGTAACAGCTGAATAATGCATCCTCCTCCACTTATAGCTTCAGTTGCAAAAATTGTGGTAGAATTTATTCCATTTGCGTGTCTGCCTATTAAACTTATTGAACTATATCCGGTAAAAAAGTGGGTTTTTTTATTACCAGTTTTGTTGCTATCTAAGTTAATTAACTTCTAGTTCCCAATGGGTTAATAAACGGTCAGATTTGTCTAGTTTTAGCGCAATATATTCCATTTTGCCACGTTCGTTGTTTTTTTTTTTAAGGAAAGAGGTTCTTTTGAAGTATATATTAGTTTTATAGATACTGATTCTTATCTGGATAGCTAAGGAATAAGTGTTATTTTTTGTGAATATTCAGGGCTATGTCATCGCGTGTCAGTTCATGTGCTTTACGGTTGCCTTAGTAGTCATTATATCCTGATATGTAAAGACAGATACGCTTTTATGTCTGAAATTATATGTAAATAACTGGGTTTTCCTATTTTAAATTTTTAATATTAGTTCTAATTAGTGTTGTTTGCATAATAATTATATTATAATACAATAATCAATTTCAAGTTCATATTCATAGGTAAAAATGAATAATGAAGCAATTATTTTTCAAGTACTTCCCAATATTTTGCGTGATGTTTTGTTAGTTTTAAATAAGTACATATATTAAATTTATGTGTGAAAAATTTTAATATAAATCAGTGCAATTCTGATTATTGACAGTCTGCAATTTGCTTTAGTACTTAACTAACAAACGCATTAACATAAAATTATTTGCAAATAATTTAATTCGCAATGAACAAAATTATTTTTATATATTGCTTAGTGAGCAGTTATTTATTGTCCACAACGACAGCAAAGCCGCTATTGCAAGTAAATTTAATTTTAATTAAATAAATAAAAATATATATTTTGAAATATGAATAAAATTATATATTAAAAAATAGGGACAACTATCAGCAGATAAACCAAAATTAGTGAAATATTCTAAAATGAGTGTCAACGGTATAAATGAATCCTTTTCGCAAGGATTAAAAAGTGGAAAAAATGTTAAACTCAATGAATCACTGAAGCCAAATTGGAAAACTAGTAATAGAAATACAGATTGGTCTGCATTGGAGCAACACTTGGAGACACATCGCAAGAAACGTTCACCATGTTTTATTATTATACAAAATCCCACTGCTGCACCTACACCGGCTACAACAACCGAAGCACCCGAAATCGATGAAAGAAATCAACAGAGACGTTCTGCAGTAAAGAAAAACGCAGTTAACGCAAAGCAAAAGCAGCAAAGGTTACAGAAGGAAACTACACCCATTCCATCTCAGTTCTTTTAAAAATTATATCAATTTATTTAATAATTTAAGAAGTTAATCTTAATTTATCTTTCACAATTTAAGTAAATTAAATTATTTTTGTACAATTAAAACTATATGATATACATATATATATATATATATGTGTGTGAATTGAAACCACTGTTAATACAAAAGCTATTTGCTATGCATATTAATATAATACATTTTTGATATATGTATTATATACTACTTTGATTTGAACTAGCTGTATGTTTCAATAAAATATAATAGGATTAATAAGCAATTTACCATATATTGTATAAAAAACATAATTGAAAAATTGTAACTTAAGTAAATCTTAATGATTTCACAATTCCTGGCGATACTAGAAAACCGCGGATTCTTCACAAAGAGCCACAATTAATCGAAGATCAAACTACGCTAATATTATCCTCAAAATTTTTATTATCCTCAAACAGTAAAAATTACGGATTATTGTAAGGCTTTACAAAAAAAAAGAGAGAGGGCTAATATGTATAGACATAATTGGTAGAGTGAAGGTTGGGAAGTAGTAAAGTAAGAAAGGAGTGAATAAAAAAGTGAAGTGAATAAAAAAGTAGAATGAATAAAAAAGTGGAGTAATAAAAAGCTTACATAGGACCAAAATAAAGTAATTTAATAATGAACAAATGGATGTAGTCATGCTGAGTAGAACTATAGTTGAAGTCAATTAAATATTCCGTATAGGTGCTATAGCCATATTCAAGATAACACTACAACAACAATCACATATATGAGTGACTCTCAGTCTTCTTTAACGGGAGCACAGAAAGTGGCAAAATGGATTCCAAAATCTGAAGAAATAATTTTCAATGGAGTAATGGAGAAGAAGATTTTATAATGTTTTAAATATCTTAAACACCGTAGGCATATGTTGTTCGAAAATTCTGTAATAAAATTCATGAAATTATTATATTAAAAGCTAACCTTAAAGTCTTTTTTTACTTTAAGCAATTTATATTATATGAACTCTGTGATCTCTGCAATTCAGAAGCCTTAGCTTCGTGAAATAATTATCACCGGAAAATCATATAATAAGACATAGATCTGCTGAGATAAGCTAAAGAAATGTTTTGTGTAATTAAAAGCTTAGTTTTCACAGTAATCCTCAATTCACTTCACTATATGGTACACTCACATATTTTTGCATAAATAAAATTTTACAAATGGTCTCCAATTTTTTTTTTGTTATTAGCTTTTAAATTAAGTTCTTGAATCTAGTATGGTAGACACTTTTATTTGTGTAAAAGTAATTATGGGAGGATGACTTCCGAGTCTCTTTATTAGCAATGAAGGGATAATGAATAATCGCTTCATACAGCATTGTATGGTCAGGCAAGCTTCAATATATTCACTAAAATTTTTGTTATAGTTTTTTCATTTATATTCGAACCCTTTTAATTTTTAAATAGCTTGTTTTCGTCACAAGACGTGTCACGTCCGACAAAAAGAATTAACATTAGAGAATGATTTTCTTTGCTTACTCTTTGGATTTGAAATGTTACCTAAAAACTTTGTGTGAAAGTGAAAATAGTTTTGAGTATTCAATCTATACCACATTCATGGCGTAAATTTGATTTTGTTTGCATATAGCATGAAATGAATATAATATATAACATATGTCTAGTATCAAGAACTACATGTGCAAAGTTTACGCTGGGATCCCTTTATACACACTGAAGAGGATAGTTCCTATTCTGGTAGGATATCTAACAGTCTTCTAGATCTTTTGGTGGGATACGGTAGGATATCTTTAACGTTTACCTGAATACATCTATGAAATAATGTAATGTGCCAGAAAAATACAAGTAATATATTCTTTTTTCTTTTTTTTAAGAAAAAAGTGTATTTCATTAAATTGAACACATCCACCAGTATATATGTAAATATTTATTATGAAGCTGTTATGAAGCTGAACTATAAATCATATTTTGCTTACAAACTTTTATTACACTAAGTATTATTTTTAAGAATTTGTTTTATTTTTTTAATTAATTGAGAAACTTTTATTTAAAACTTTAAATAAAATTCTACAAAGTTCCTAGAAGCCAAAGGAGCCCATTTAAAATTAAATTTTAAATAGATTTGCATCTCCTAAAAATGTGAAAAAAATAAACGAACTGTAAAAATGTAAACTTGACCTTCAAATGGCTATTGTATCTAAATGAATAAATACTTTTGCACACCAATCATATATATATCATTCACCATAGGTATATATATATATATATATATAATACTGCTTTTCATATTAACACCAACAAAGAATTATCCAAGAGCAACCGGAAGCTGTACTCGTAAATCCAATTTTTTACAAAAACTGAACAACAATAAAAAACATTTCAAACAACGTTATTTCGTGTTAAAAAAAATTGCTTGAAATTAAACAATTCTTATTTAAAAAACAAAGTTAGCAAAATTCCATTTAAATTAAATTTATTTAAAAGGAACACAATTGTCTCAATAAAGGTTGTGATTGTGCTCTAGAAACAGCAAAAAGTTTCTGAGGAAAATAAATTGATTTTCCAAAGACAAAGGAAAATCGTTACTGTGCCAACAATGTTTGGAAAAAAATTAAAATTTTCAATTGCAATAATTTTTTATTTAAGTGTGATTTGCATATTAAATGCAAAATTATACGAAACGAAGTCAATCACAGGTGTGAAGGTATCACAAATTAAAACTAATTTTACATAAATTTCAGAGAAACTGAAAAACAATTTGCCAATTTTCAGAAAAGTCCACAAAATTTGAAGGTTTCGCTGATAAAATCAAATTTTCCCATTCAATGGGTAAATAAAGTAAGACGTGAGAAGCGTGCTGAGAGAAGAGCTAATCAAATTGATGAAAACTATGACGAAAATGCAGAAATTCTACCAGATTTAACTTATCCAAATGAGAAACCATTAGTTGAGCAGATTGCAGATAGTTTCGAAAATATATGGGAATCACTAAAGGAATCGGTGAAAAAATGTTTTAATTTGATTAAAAGTTTGTTTTCTAGTAATAGTCAACAATTTAATGAATATTAAAAGGCAATAAATTTAAAGAAAAATATACAATAAAAATATGATAACCTAATGCTTTATTTGTGTTTATTAAGAAAAGATTTTTAATTTGATTTCTAGATCCAAATCTTCTAAATCTAATATCTTTATATTTTGTGACAAAAATTTACACATTAAAAAACTTTTCATTTTAAAAGAAGTATACTTTTAGGCTATTTTAGCTATTGTCAATACCTATCATCAGCGGTGTTCAGCCTGGTCCAATTTGAGCCATTGACTCGTTTGTTGACAAACAAATTCAATGTACTTGATTTTTGTTATTTGAATTCAAAGTTCTGTCAATCTATGTCGTTCGATCGAAATTTAATTCCCAAAGAAGTAATTATATATGATCTTAAAAACTTCAGTCAATATATAAACTTTGTTATATTACATATAATCGAACTGTTATGTATTAGAAGACATATGAGAATTAAACTTGTTAGACTAAACTTATTTGACATATTAAAAAATGCGAGAATATCTTAATTCAAGAAGTCATAGATGTTACTTTAAAATGACAGTTTGTAATCGCTGAACTCAGAATAATTAAAATGTTTCTAAAAACTTCTAGAGATAATACAATTAGTACATCATTTAATATATCAATTAATTAGTATGTTCGATTATCTGCATATTAAAGTATAACCATTTTTCTTTGGAACCAAAGAGAAAACTTTGGATTCTTTGTACCCGCATTGTCTTAGAGAATGCTATTAATTTAAATTACTATTAGTTATACACAGTACTGTCGTATTCTGCTTCTGTGAAGTATATTAACCCCGTTGTTGTACCTGCTGTACACATATGACTTGCCAGTGAAGTCAACGTGCATTGTCGAAAGTTAAGCAGAGAACACGTAAATAATGGCTTTACGTCCAATTAACAATATATCTACAATATATATCTAGAAAAATGGACTATTAAATGTCTAATCACGTTAATTTTGCTAACAAAAGAGAAACTCAAATTCCATTCTTTCTTAACAGTGTAAAAGTTGCTAGTTCTGCAAAATATCTGGGTATAACTCTAGATGTCAAACTGAGATGAAAAATCAAGAAAAAACTAACTGAGCTAAATATTAAATCCAAAAATCTAGCTCGGCTTATTGGAAGGAGATCTAAAATACCTCAGCAAAACAAACTCATGTTACACAAAAAAGTCCTCAAGCCTTTATGCTCTATAGTGATCAAATTGGGGGTTATGCATAAAATCATATAATAATTATGATACTAAGGCTCCACAGCAAAGCACTCAGGATTGCAGTTAATGTTCCGTAGTATGTGCAAAATTCTGACCTACAAAGTGATCTTGAAATACCTATTATCAGGCAAGAAATACAGAGGGCTGCCAATACACATTATGACAGGTTGAGTCAACACTTAAACAGCAGAATTTCGGCGTTACTTTCTGATGTTACACACAGACGCTTAAATCGCTTCAAACCAAATGACCTGTGAGGCGTTTCAACCAGCAAGGAGATGACTAGCTCAGATCTATATGCTCATTTTAGATAAGTAATATCACTTGTTATATTAAATCGAAAAACCTCTTGTTAATTAGTGACTAGCTGTTGGTTGCTTAAACTTTGCTATTTGTTTATATAAAAAAATACATATTCTGACACTTGCACGGATAAGCTGCCTTATATTTGGAATAGCTAAGCCATAGCTCACAATAATATATCCTACATCAGGAATATTCACTATGCCATAGCTCACAATAATATATCCTATATCAGGAATATTCACTATAAGGTTAGGGATAGTCAATAAAGAAAGAAGATTACTACCATATTTCCAAACAGTGAAGTATTCGAAATCAAATGAATTGTTTATATAATGTTGAACATAATAATGTTCATGAAGTACCCTATGTACCTAATACCCTATGTCAGGAATATTCGTTATATGGTTATGGATAGTCAAAAAAGAAAGAAGATTACTTCGAATCGCTATTATATTCCCAAACAACCAAGTTGTTAAAGTAGTAGTTAACATAATAATGTTCATGAAGTAGTAGAACGAACGCTTTTTCTGAAGTCGTTGAATGCCATATACCCCATATACCCTATGTCAGGAATATATATGTCAGGAATAGTCAAAAAAGAAAGAAGATTACTGCAAATGGCTATTATATTCCCAAACAGCTAAATATTTAAAATCAAACGAAATTTTCATGTAGTAGTTAACATAATAATGTTCATGAAGTAGTAGAACGCACGCTTTTTCTGAAGTAGTAGAACGGGTGGTATTTGTATTGACAAACAACTCAATGCATCAATTTACTCTGAACCGATTCTGAAAGTTTGTTTCAAAATTTCCGCTTTTCAAGTGTAATTAAATTAAACCAAGTACCTTTAATGCCATTCCGCTTGGAATCTTTTATGTGGAGGTTAGATGTGGTTTATATTAAATGAACCCATTGGTTCAGCATATCGAACCACTGCAACAAATCACTTCAGTAATTAACACAATTCAAAATATTGATATAAATAGTTGTTTTTTCAGATGTTTGATTTTATGTGTGTTTGTGAAGTGAATTATTATAATGAAAAACAAATTTCAATATAAAAATTAATAAATATTTTTCATATGACTTCCGCTGCGGATAAATTGCGTATTTTTAATTTATAGCAACTATAATTTAATTTTATCAAAATATCTTAAAATTTGTTTGGCTTGGCGTGCAAATATTGAATTTTTAAATAAAATTACAAATGAAAACATTATTGATCAAATTAAGCTGAAATTTTAATTAATTGACTTTTCGTGTTAGTAGCCAATTAAATAAATAAATTTTATCGGCCTAAACAAATGCAGCGTACTTTAACTAGTATTTGTGTTTATTGTAGATTAAACATGAATATATTATAAATAATGGAGTATTTTTTCGACATAAATATAAAACGAAATGAATATAATATTTAATTTATGACTTAAAAATTTTACACTTTGGTGTGAAAATAAAATTCATATAAATTAGTAGAAATTGATTAATGCAACACAAAATCGAACTCACTTCGGTTGCATTTTATTGAAAGCTAAAATGCATAAATTAATAATTTCAATACTTTTTTGTGTCGTTTTGTACGTAAGTGCACAACCAGGACTGGAGGTTAGTGAATGTAATTTTATAATATACAGAACGCAGATATTTTAACACATTTTCCTCTGACAGGATATGCAAACCATAGCAATGCTGGCTGCTGGACAAGCGAAAGACCTAATGGAGAATGGTGCTGCAGCACGTGATGGCAGAAGAATAGAATTTATGGGTGCCACATATCAACGCGATAGCGCTATTGGCTTTGGTGATGCCATGCGATCTCGTCGAGCTATAGCTGTTGATGATAATAGCGCATCAAGCTCATCGGAATCTGAGGAACGTTAAATAAGTTCTTTATGCGCTTTATAATTATACCGATTATTGTACAATATGGATAGTGCAATAAAAATAAATAATTCAAAGTTAAACTTTACTAAAGCAGTAACTTTTTAATCGCATAATCGTTGACCTATTTAATACATTTTTATGGAAACTATAACATTAAACCTAATATGACATATTCTTCAATTGCTTTCCGCTTTATGATTTTACTGACCTATTAATTAATTAATTGTTATATACCAAGCAAAATTTAACTATCACCAAAGTGGCTTATACGCTAGACTCACCTGTAGATTTGGCTGCGTTTGTTGGTATAAATCTGCTTGTTGCAGTTGCTGCTGTGTTAATTGTGCGGTTGCTTCTGTTGGCTGTATTCCTTGCAACAGATTTCCACGGTGTCCACCAAAGTAACGTGTGAAACTTTGCTGCAGTCCGGGAGCTTTAAGTGTAAATGAATTTGTGTTGGCATCAGTGTGGAATGCCAACTGAGCCATGCAAGAGTCATTCAAGCATACAACTAAAACAAGGCCTAACGCCAGCCAAGCGTTTGCTGTGTAACTTTGACGATGATTGGCAGTGTACATGTTACCAGTAGTTTGTAGTCGTGTTCACTTCCGATGCCTAATAATCCTTTAAGTAATTAGTTAAAGTGCTTGTATGGAAGTGTATCCTCTAATGCCACGTCTTAACGTGTTAACTCGACATACACAAACTCTCGACGCTCAATGAATTAAACTGATTAGCGTTGCCGAAATGTTTTTTGGTTTTATACTGAGTTTTTTTTTTATTCGATTTTTTTTTTGTTTTTATTTTGGTGTTGTTTAAAGCATAAAGTTAAGGAAGAAGACAAATTGCTTTTAAAAATGCGCTAAATTAAGTACTTAATGAGGCTTAGTACACACTCACTCAATCATGTTTGAGTGGAGTATCTTGTTGGTTTCTTCTTCATTGCTCCACAGTTTTGTGCTCGACTCGTACGTGATTGCTTTACTTGATTAACTTAATAAATATTTTAAACACGTTAATTTTTAACGATTAACTAAGCTTGACTTGTATTTTCAGCAGGTAAACCAGGTAAGCGAAGTATTTTACTTGAATTTTCAATTAACTGCAATTTTAAAATATACGTAAGAAATAAACTTTAATATCGCATAAATGATTAAAAACATCTTTTAAAGAAACAAAAACATTTGTAAATTTAAAATTTGGTGAATTTTCTTTAAACCAAACTTAATTTTAAAGTATGTAGAAGTCTTCGTACTTCTACATACTTTCATACTTCTACATGCTCCTATTTTTTCTTCATTTTATCATTCTTCCAAATGGAGCAAGACCTTAGTCTTGTCAATTTTTGAAATCGTGTTCTTCGCTGAAGAAATAAAAGTCAGTTCATGTGTAATGTACTTATGGTATACAAGCTCTGCAATAATTATTTTTCTTCAGGTCTTTAATGAGTCTCTAGATCACTTGTATATTACTCTGCCTGCTATCTTTTTTGCACAGTTTTATATGAGGTAGATCTAAGATTATGCAGATAAGATGTACATCTATATAAGATCTACTGTAAGAACTGGATCTACATTCATAGATAATAAAAGTACAATATAACAGCTTCAAATTTAATCTTCAAAGCGAAAAGTTAAACGGTTAAAAGAAACCGCAATCTCTCTTGTACGTACATATGATCTATTTTTGATGGAAATATAAAGAAACAGGAAATCAAAACATCACATGACAATAAAACGGATAAAACTAGATTCAAAACAACTCATTGATTTTTTTTATCAGGATATTTCAATATCGCTTTTTTCTACTTCAGAAACTAAAACAGTCGGTTCCTGGTAAGCGTTTCGAGATTTTGAATTAAGTAAAAGCAACTTTGATAAAAAACAGAATTATTCTGAAATAGTTTTATGCAAAATTAGTTTTTAAAAAGTGTATATTTTTTTGTAGTAGATAAAAACATACAAAACAACAAAACATACACTACAATTACTTTTCTATGAAGAATGATAGGAGATTAAGAAACTGAATTGTCATTTCTGTTAAGACAAAGAACTGAAGAATGATGTAGGCTACATATATGTATTCCTTTATATGGTAGATCAGGAAGGAAATACAAAAACAAAATAAACAGTGTTTAAGGAATTAAAAGAAATTTTTATTAAAAATGTACTCAGTTGAGGAGTCTTATAAATTCATAGCTGTAGAGTGGAATAATGTTCTTTTCTTTAATGTAGGCAACAGCAACTGGGAAAGTTTGTGTCTTTCTATTTGTACTGATTTAGAAGGGAGTTCTTCATTATATAATTTTTGTGAAGTGTTTACTATTGGATTTGGTCCTTTTTAAGGTGGTCCTTTTTAAAATACGTCAACGCTGAATTTCTGCTGAACTACTTAAGTTAGATCAGTTAAGATATGAGTAGGTTGACAAAGATATAAAAGTTAGATAAAGTAGCTTAAGCTCAATTCTAAACTGGTTGCATAAAGCCTATACCTATACAAATATTCGAATAAATTTTAAATATAGGTTCATTTTAAAACCTAATGGTTTAACTATTAGAATTTCTACATATTTGTTGAGAAAAAGTTAGAACCACAACTACTGCGAAATCTATTACAAAATCCTATATAAGAAGTTGACATTTCTCTTAAAAATGGAAATAAATAAAATCATTATTCAAATTATTCAGTAAAGTAAATCAATGAATTTTATTAAATAATTTACCTTTCTTATTTTGAAAAAACTCGTTAGAAATAAAGATAGATTTTTATTAATAAAATACTTTTTATCCATTTATATACAATATTGTAAAAACTTAATTTAATAAATATATATATATATAACTACATCTATAGGTACATAACCTAAATAGGAACATCAGAAATTTTTTGTAAATTTTGTTTGGATTGTGTATAGAAAGTGCAATGCTTTAATTTTGTCGACCATTGTGCTTTGAGCTTGGTGATTCATGTAGAGAACATTGAGATCAAACGTTCAGTAAATAAAAGACAAAACTAAAACTTTGTCTTCTTCAATTAAAATGAAATTGACAAAATGAATTCATTTCAATGTTATCCAAACTTTGAGTCGATGAAACTTTACTACTTAACCTTATTGACAAACAGCAAACTTTAAACTAAAATTGGTTAGGTAATAAAAGCTACACGTACGTTACCCTTACCTGTCATATAATGTGTACTTATGTACATTCGACTCTATTTCATTTTATCTGAATATACTTGCATTGTTGTGGCTTACGTAGTACAATGACATTGCAATCAACATTGCTTTTATTGTCAACTGAAATTAATTTTTCTCAAATTAAATGGAAATTTAATATGAAACCAACAAGATTGCGTCGTAAGAAGAGTTTTATTAATACACAATTTATAAAATTTTACCAGATTAAGACTTCACTTAATTCGAAATGCTTATTCCTAACGTCTTGTTTAGTCTTTGAAAGAGACTAAAGGATGTGATTGTAGTAGCGATGGAAATATGCAAAATGAAAGTTGATTTCTTCAGTAAGACACATTAAAATTTTAATATTTAATTTTCATCTTAACTAACTTCTCATACAGTTAAGAGTATGTGAAACGTATGTATAATGAAGCACATAATTTAATCTCATGAAAATTAATCAAACATTTTTTGCTGAGATTGTAATGAAAACTTCAAGAATTTAGGCATTTTGGTAAACAGAAATTTGTTTATGTTTGTTAATTAAATTTATTTCTTATATCTTTTTATTTATTTTTTTTTTTTGTTGTTTTTCAGAATTCTGCGTTAAATATATTTCAAATAAAAAATTTTTTAGTTGTTTTTAAGTATACATTTTTTTAATTTCCATGGAGATGTAAAATTTATTTAATTTACATCAATTTTTTTGCCAAATCAAGTCAAGAATCTTCTCAGTCTTGCTCTTAGAAACTCAAGACTTTCAATTCAATTTAATTTAATTTAATGAAATAAAAAGTTTTTTGTAATAAAAGTAGGCAAATAGAATTATCGTTAAATTATTTCATTTATTAATTGAAAATAAAAGATATGTGTGATATACCATAGTATTCAGGATTCGTAAGAACTTAGGCAAAAAGCTGCACAAATCTCATTTGAATTGTAAGTTCTTTGCTCTTAATGATATTTTACTCCTAACATCTTTACACATAAGGGGTCCTTAGGCAACACAAATAAATCTGATTAAAACAATTGATATTTACTTGGGACACATAATATGAATTAAATTCATTAAATAAATAATAACTTAAGTCTTTGTAACACTGATACTTACAGAAAAGTAGAGTTCCATCATTCAAAATTTTTAATTCACCTTTATCAGATATAGATTATGCTTGTATAAAATTATATATATATATATATATATATATATATATCGCTATATAACTATATATATCATATATACATAGATTTCATAAAATATTGTCAGTTGGCATATTAAAAGGATTTCAGAAGTTAATGGTTACTACCGCACAGTTTTGACTATACCATAGCTACAATGTTCTTAAAAGTGTATGCCTTCACCTTCGATTTAGCGCTTCAGAATCAAAATCAATACTGACTTGCAGATAGTTCTTATTGTTTTTCTATAGTATCTTAGTAATCTATCGAATCACATACAATGGTGATTATGCTATGTAATGATCTCGCTGAAATACTTCATGTTTATATCGTTTTATAAATAAAAATTAGTAATTTTTTGTGTAATTTTGTTTGTATATAAACTCATTATGAGTACTTTTATTTTATAAAAAATCCTAAATCCAAAATCGAGCTCAATTCTACTGAAAAAATCCCAGTGAAGCCTTTGATTGATGCCACAAAACTTTAATGTTAATGGTAATAATATTTGTATTAATATTATTCATTTAAATATACTTTTTATTTATAATTCTTTTAATAAAAATATTTATTGTTAATTTTATCAGTCAAGACATGTTAATATTTTGCGTTTCATTTGCTCATTAAATTAATTTTAAATTTTGTCACTGCATAACTACATGTAATGTCTTCAATCGTTCCGTAGTTCATTTCACTTTCGATTGCAGTGACTGCACACGTTGAGTGAAAATAA